GGGAAGAAGAGAGCGTGGTCAGGGTCATCGTGTAACTGATCATCGGAAGCGGCGTAATTGTAGACGAAGGGGCTGACGTGGACAACGACGGGCTTGCCCTTGGGTTTCACTACGACGCCAACGCCGCCCTTGCCGACGTTGACGGTGGTGCCGCCGGGCTTGTGATTTGGACCAGTTTGGACGCCGACGCCTCCGTGGCCGACGTTGACGGAGGTGCCTTTGCCGGTGTGGACGTCGACTCCGCCTTTTCCGACCCCAACGGTGGTGCCGCCAGGCTTTGACTTACCAGTGTTGACATTGACTCCGCCATGACCGACGTCGACTGTGGTGCCTTTGCCGGTGTTGACGTTGACCCCATCATTGCCGACGCTAACTGTGGTGTCTTTGCCGGTGTTGACGTTGACTCCGTTCTTACCGGCGGTCACTGAGGTGTCTGTGTTCTTGTTGTACACGTCTGTAATGCAGTAAAAATGGAGATTAATGGTATTGAGGTGATATTCATCATAATACCATCAACTTATAATACAAAAATACGGTCTCATAATACCATCAACTTAATATATTAATTTTGATAAGGAGTTTTGAAATTATTTACCAAACAATTTAATATATATTAATTTTATCGTATATTTAAAACACAAAAATATATGGTCTCATATTTTTAATTTTCTTTTTTTATTTTAAAATGATCATGACTGGTACTTGCATGATTGAAAGCTTACCCATAATTTTGCAATAATAGATAAACCAATAAATGTGTAGTTATAATAAGCTTTAAGATAAATTATTGATCATTTATGTTTTCTAGTACATGGACCAAAAATATTTTTTAGTCTACATTATGAATATCATTGTTATAATTTTACTATGATTATTAAAAAAATGAACTTAATTAATGCATTTTAAATATAATTAATAAAATAATAAATTGATCTTTTAAAACAGAATATGGTTATTTACCACTAGTGTGCCATCAAGAAAAAAATATATAATTTATTTTTAGCAAATTTGTTGAATATAATTGTAAATTATACCTTAAATCCGCTCATTTGTTAATCATAACTTGTCTTTATGATTGTAGATAAGAACTTTCTTATACGTAGAGATACGTCTGGAGTCCAATGAAATCACCCCATGTGGAGGTGACGGAAAAATTAAAAAAAAATTGTTTTAGCACAGAGAAATATTCCTCCCGTGTTATCCGTATTATTCAAGTGTTATTGTCTTATTAAAACACCGGAAATATTCGCAGAACACAATAATACATAAATATCACCACAATAACACATGAATAAAACGGAATAACACGAGAGGAATATTCCTTTGTGTTACCGGGTCAGAGATCACAAGAAACGAGTTTTTTTTTTTTTTCCTGCAAGTTCCACGTAGAGGTGATTGATTGGACTCCGGACATATGTCGTAATAATTTTTCGAGAGAGACGTGATATACCTGGCTGGAGGAGTTGTGCAATAGCACTTGGCATAGGAGTATTAGGAAGAATGGTGCGCCAATAGACTTGTGGCTCTAAGGAAGGATGATTTGCTTCTCCAACCATTATAAACTGTCTCCCAAAAAAAAAAAAAAAATCAGAAGAATTACATATAGTTCATGAATCTTATATAAATAATAAAATAAAATAAAATAAAATAAAAATTCCGATCACCAGAAACATTGAAGAAAGAAGAGGAAGGAGAAGATCCATGGCTGCTTCCAAGCTAAAGCAATGGCGAAGTCTTGTGAGTTAGGGAAGCTAAGCTGGTCCGAATGCTTATATAGAGAAGAGGAGCGCATAATTTGGTCTGGTGGCAGAAGAGAGGTGTGGGAGTGCTGCAGACATCACTTCACTGCATTTATGTGAATCTCAACTGCCATCGCCTTGATATTGAATGATGCGAATTGGTAGACAGCAATTTTGGAGCCGCACAGGCTTCGTCTTGTTACTCCCATGACAGCCATGCACGTGTGACTTGTAGCACGGGTGATTGGGCTTAAATTGTGCTAAGTGCTAAGAGTCTAAGTGAGGGTTTAGCTTATGATTTTGTAGAAAGCTTGTTTAATTACAACTTTAAAAAAACAGTCTTTTAAAGCTGCTTAAACTTTTCTTTTTTTCTTTTTTTTCTTTTTTTCTTTTTTTTAGATGATAAACATTTAAATTTGCAAAAAAAATATTGAACTCGAACTTCTTTATCTAATCTTAAAATACATACACTATAGAATTGGTTCATTTGCCAGATAAGGGACAGGTGTGGTGTTGGGGACCTTGTACTCTTTTTCTAAATTGAAAGAAAAGTCACCGCTTTGCTCACGAGAATGTAGAAATATTTGTCGAACCTCATTAAATCTCTATGTTTTCTGCTTGATTTGCATTGATTCTTGCATTCTTTGCCCTAAAATTCTCAGCACATACAAACTAATAATTCTCATATGTTTACATGTCGAACATCTAAACTTTTATTTTTACGTACATACCATTCAATCCATAGTTTTTGGCTATCATAGTATATGTGTCAAGTTGTGAGATTGTGGAGGGAGTAAAATCAGCGGAACACGATTAGAATACGTGATGGGAATAGGGTTTCAAAATGGAAAATAAACAGAGTTTCGTTGACAACAATATAAGAAAAAACATAGAAATCAAACAAATTTCACGAATAAATTGTGATTCTCTCTAGAACGAAAAAAAAACTCTAAAGATAATTAAAGAGGTTAATTGTGCAAAATGCCTTTTATGAAAGAGTTTTTTTGCCTAAAAATATATATAAGATGAAGAAATTATAAAAATATTTGATCTTAAATATTTTTTTTAATTAAAAGAGCAGCTCGTGGCTCCTTACACGTTAATCATAATAAAGAGAGTACATAATTTGGGAGGAAAAGAGGGTCCCTACTAAAAAAGAAGAGAAATACATTGAGACCTAAGGGTTATTATGGCATGATCAATCTAGCAAAAATGTATGTTATAAATGTGGATCATCTTTATGTGTGAATAATCATAATAGTAAAGTTCTAGAAGATGAAAGAGATGGTAAAGAAATTAGTTAAGGTTGTTCGTATTTTTCATTAATCCCAAGAGCATAACAACTATTTAAAACGTAAGAATAAATTGAATGTATGATATGACATTCAAATCATCACAACAAAGATAGTTTAATGCATCATCCTGTTTATGGTAAAACATGAAAAGTATTTGATATTCATTATCCTGACTTTGCTTCTGAACCACAATATATTCGGCTTGATTTAGCCGTTGAAGGATTCAATTCAATCTTATGAATAGTACATACAACATATAGTGTAAGGTTTTGGTACCTTATAATTATCTTATTAGATTGGGATGAAACATTCCTCATGCATTCTGCCTACTATTTTACCACGAGTGAAAAGATGGGGTAATAATATTGAAGTTTATTTATAATTATTAATTCATGAATTGCATTAACTTTTGGCATGGTGTTATGAGGTTGCAACATGTCAAAATCTTATAATGTGTGTAAACTTAATGTGGACTATCAATGGCTTTCCTGCATATGATATATTATCTGAATGTAGTACAGGGGAAATATTTGCTTGATCGTGTTGTGCTAAAAATACTAAACCATGATGATTATATAAGATTTATAATTTCTCTCATATTTGAGTCATCGATGTTGGCTACCATTTGGACATATATTTTGTCGATAAAAATACTAGGACCTAGCGCCACAAAGTGCGTTTAACAAAATTAAATTCAGGCTTAACGCTTTGGTGCCTCAATTTTGGGAGCAACGCAACACCGATGCCAGGCACCACAAATCCCTACCTAAAAAAATTTTTATGGCTATCCAAAAAAGTTATGCCACGTGATAGGCGTTGCAACGCCAGAGAATCTATAAATAAGGAAGGAATCATAATGCTTTTGTATTGTCGACTTTCGAGAGCGGGCTCTGCCATGTCTTTTCTCTCTTATCTCATTTTCACAAATCATTGCCAAAGATGCCTCATCAGCACTCTCAGGTGGCGAGACTAGAGCCCGATCATGTTCCTTTTAAAATTAATTTAAAACCTTTAATAATTAAAAAACTCAAAACAAATTTAAAACCTTTAATCATTTCAAAATCCAAAACAAAATTTAAAACCTTTTAAAAATAATTTAAAACCTTTAATCTTTTGAAAAACCAAAACAAATTTTAAACCTTTTTAAAACAATGTGAAACCCTTAATCATTTAAGAAAATCCAAAAAATAAAAAATAAAAAATTTTAAAACTTTAATCATTTTAAAAAAAGCAAAAAAAACTTTATATAATAATTTGACTCTTTAATCATTTAAAACCCCAAAAATAAATTTTATTTTTAAAATAATTTAAAACATTTAATCATTTAAAAATCCAAAAAAATTTCAATACCTTTTTAAAATAATTTAAAACCCTTAATCATTTAAAAATCCAAAAAAATATTAAAACCTTATTAAAATAAGTTAAATTCTTTAATCACTTAAAAAATATAAAACAATTTTAAAACCTTTAAAAATAACTTAGGAATTTTAAGCATTTAAATTTAAAGATAATTAAAAACCTTTAAAAACTTTAATTTCTTTAAAATAACTTAAATTTTCAACTCTCAAAATACTTTTAACCATTTAAGATAAAATAATTTAAAATTTCAACTTTCAAAATACTTATAACCATTTAAAAAAGCCCAAAATTTCAATCTTCACACCACTTAAAAATAAAAATTTTAACTTTTAAAACACTTAAAACCATTTGAAAGAACTTAAAATATTCAACTTAAAAAATATTTTAAACCATTCAAGATAACTTCAAATATTAAAACATATAGAAACTTTTTAATAATAATAATAATAATAATGATAACTCAAAATCTTAACTAAAATGCACATTAAGACTAGTTAAAATGGTTTAAAGTTTAAACTTCAAAATACTCTAAAGAATATTTAAAATATAACTTTGAAATTTCTACTTTAAAATATTTTGGAACTTCTCTAAAAAAGGTTAAAATTCTTAATTTTGATGATTTAAACACTTTAAATTTCAATAGCAAGCTTGAAATATTTAAACCCCACATATTTTAAGCACTTAAAACACTTGATATATTTAAACTTTGAATCACCATAAACTTAAAACAATCATTTAACTTATCATATCAAATCACATAAGCTTACAACTTTCATGTAAACTTTAATTATAAAACTTTAAACCATAACTAAAAATGAAATGTAGGAGTAAAACCAATGGAAAACACCAATATAGGATAGAAAACCAAATATAAAATTTTGAACATAGAATACCTTAATTTTCATGTTGACCAACAAAATTATAAGTTGAACCAAATCATAAATTAAATATCAAAATCCAAAAAATAATATGAAATACACCCACTTAAATAATGAAAACCACTATTAAGCAGGTCAACTATGAATCATAGGATTAGCCAACTTAGAAACAAAACTTAGTATCACACATGCCTTAGAATAGTCTAGTCTAAAGCATATGTTAGTTTACTAGGTACCGCTAGTTAGTACTAAGAACTACGATCTATCAAACAAACAACCTTCTCCCTTAGACTATGTATGTGAACTAGGATGAGGAAGCCCATGGTTATTGACAAAGACACCTCAAATCACTTAATTGTAAAAATACATACACTTGCAATCACTATTACAATAAGTAGAGATTTCTTAATGTCAAGTTGGTTAATAGCTAAAGTATACTAATGAACTTAGGATGATGGAAAGTCTAATGCATCTTGATCAGGTGCATTCAACTATCCCAAATTTTATTTACAGGGCCTCCAAGCAAGATGCATGGCCTCCTCATTTTTAATTCCACTAACTTCAAGCTCCACATGCACTTTCAAGAAACTTAAAACAACTTAAAACCGCATTTCCTTCAACAATGACTTTAAAACCTTTGATAATAATAATAATAATAAATATTACACATCTCTTAAATATATATCACATATTTTTTATATCTCTTAGAACTTTCTTCTTATGTTGGAGTTGAGCTCATCTAGAAAAATATGGCTGGCAAGTTGGGACCTACCCTATTCGGTGGGACTCTTAAGGTCAATGGTTGAGCCTCTAGAAATTGACCAGTTATTAAAGAGTTTATTTAAAATAAATAAAAATTTATATATTAAAAAATAAACTTAGTGATAACTTATATAGAAATAGCCATTAGAAAGTAGTCCATATTAATTAAAGATTGGGGGGATGGTAGTAGTTATTTTCTATGCATTAATTATTTATGGGTGAAGCACATGGATTTGACAATGCTATTATTATTTGCAATATATTCTTCGGACATCTGTACATGTGATAGTCAACGTGGCCTTGTAGCTTATAGGGATTATATATATATATATATATATATATATATATATATCTAAGAATAATTTAAGGGTAAATGTGTGTCAGTTATTCCACTGATTTTGCACATTCATATATATATATATAATTACGTGCGAAGTCCAATAAAATTACGCCACAAAGAATATTCCCAGTAACACATGTAATACAAGAGAATATTCCCTCCGTGTTATTCAGGTGTTATTGTATGTTATTCATGTGTTATTGTGTTCTGAGAATATTCCTGATGTTATAATAACACATCAATAACACTTGAATAACATACAATAACAATAACACGAGAAGAATATTTTCTTGTGTTACCAGACCGATTTTTTTTCTATATTCACACCTTCACGTGTGTGGCGTGATTTCATTAGACTCCGCACGAAATGTAATTTTTTTTCCTGTGTGTGTGCGGGTGAGTGATTAATTCCTATCAATATATAATTGTAATAATAAGGATTTAAAAATAAATAAATTTATTTTAATATTAATGAAATGTAAATATATTTTATATAATATTAATCTCAAAATAAATTAAATGTTTTTTTTGTTTTCTCAACCAACCTCTTCAATTTAATTCATTGATGACATGGAGATCTGAGA